AAAGTCTGGAGTTCAACAAAGAGCATGCTCATTGTTTTTCTGACGTGAAGGGAATTGTTAACCATGAAATTGTTCTTCCTAACACTACGGTCAACTGTGGCTGTTACTCGTACTCTGATGTTTTGAGACGATTGAGAGGAAATGTGAGACTAAAAAGACCGGAAATTTAACGCAACCGCAACTGGCTCCTTCGTCACGACAACGGACCCACCCACACGTCCTTGAAAACCACAGGTTTTGTGACTAACAGCAACATGGTTATCGTTCCCCATGCTCTCTACTCACCGAACTTAGCCCCTGAGATTTCGCTTTGTTTCCCAAATTGAAAAATAAACTGAAGGGACGAAGTTTCGAAAGAATGTCTGATATCCAAAGAGAATCGCAGGCGGCACTCGACAGCATTAAGGAAAATGACTTCCACGGCGCTTTAGAAGAGTGGAAAAAACGATGAGATTACGTCCCCAAGGAAATTATTTTAAAGGTGATTGAAGTCAAAATTGAGTAAGTTAAGGCAGTATTTCTTTTTTGACCTAGTCCGGGAACTTTCCGATACACCTCGTATGTGAATGAGGATGATGTCTGGGCTCCCATTCTAAGGGGAGAGTGTTTGAAAACAGGGTGCTGAGGAATGCATTTGAACATTTCAAAGGCATTAGAAGAAAGAGCAGGAAAGACGGATTACTGTCTAAATTGAAGGCAGAAAAATCCTTGAAGGAATAATGCCGATAATCATAATAACCTTATGTCAGAGCAAGATGGTGTGAAGGAGACGACAGGATTCACATGGATCAGGATAGACTACAGGTGTAATTCTGTGAACGTGGTGACGAAATTTAGGCTTATAAAAGCATAGAGTACTTCGACCAGCCTAGTAACTATGAGCGTTTCATAGAAAGCTTTGTACAAATGAGCCAATTATTGTATTATTTACAGATTAGAATACTGAATAATTTTTTAGTTCAATCTAAAATTCATTTCTTTGTGCTTCATTATCTAACGACGTATTTAGTCCTCATCCAACCTTCTGGAAAATTAAGGAACGAGAGTTAATGATATATTATACGTCTTCTGAAATGTAAATTAGTTTTGTATTGATTTTCATATTCGNTTGAATAATTTATTAGTTCAATCTAAACTTCATTTCTTTGTGCATCATTATCTAACGACGTATTTAGTCCTCATCGAACCTTTTGGAAAATTAAGGAACGAGAGTTAATGATATATTTACGTCTTCTGAAATGTAAATTGGTTTTATATTGATTTTCATATTCATCTAAATCCCGTGAATTTCAAAGCTGTTTATTTTATTTCCAGAAATAGCTTAATCGTCCCTCCTCCAGACGGAGTCAGATTGTGAGAAGCACGAAGAAGCTTATATAAATATCAACGCAGAGGAGCATTCTCTATCTGTATCCTGCAATATCGACGGAAGTCAGATGGGTTTCTTTCTAATATCCTCAATCACTGGAATAGGAAAGACTCCCGTGCCGTGTCATATAATCTCGTCAGGGTGTACTGAAGATTATAAGGTGATTCCATGGCTTTGAAACGGCAAGATATTGTATTTAGTCGCTTTGTGGATGTGTTGACATTGGGAAGACAGTAAACTTTATCATAAAATGTAGGCATAGAAATGTAAATTAACGAAGATAGTAGAAATGAAAGGAGGAACCGAATAAGAGAAGATGAAAAAAATTAAGGATGTACATAGAAAAGAGAGACGGTAAAAAGGGAGCAAAATATAACGCAAGAAAAAATTAAAAATTAAGGAGAGGGAAAAGGAAGGAGGGAAGGAAGCCTTACCCCAAAACTATCGTTACAGTGAGTGTGTCATTTGCTTCAATTTCAAGGTGGTGTTACGATGAAATTGTACAGTAAACAATAAACTCATGGAAAATTCCGGTACATAATATTTCGGAATATTAATAAAGTCATAAATTTGTCTGAAAATTTTCGGTTCGAATTTCTATTGCATTAACGAATAACTCGACTTCCCTTTGACCTTGATATTCTCAGTCCGTTGAAGCGAATGCCAGAAAACTACGTTCGTATGGACAACGAATATTCTTTCCAGCAATAACCAATTCAAAACTTATGATAAACTCTCTATTTATTTCAAAGGCCTAATACTCAATTAAATTCAAGCAGTGCCTCTACAACCTAAGAATAAATTAATGTTGCTCTATTCGGCAACACCAGCAACGCATTGTATTCCTGTATGCTTATTACACAGAGTCGAAGTTTCCATCGTCGTCAACGTCGCTAAACTTGTATATTTGGATCAGCATTTTGTCTTGCAATACATTTCTGCCCTGAAGACAGAAGAATTAAATTCTTCCGAAAAGTTAATACCCACATAGCTTACTTCACTGTGGCGCAGCCCTTAAGAACACAGTACGAAATTTATCTCTACACACGTCCTGTAGAATATAGCACATATAACCGCATTAGCTCAGGTTACACCGATCGATGTGACCTCGCGATCTAAAGCACGAATTGTCTTCGTACGCTCAAACACTGGAATCGTGGTTTCGAATCCCACTCGAGACACGGATGTTTGCATTTATTCTGGGTTTATTTTAGCATGTGTAGTTGGCGGCCTTGCGGCGGGTAGGTCCCACGCCCAGGCAGTCCTACCGGCTGCGTACATGAATGAGAAACTGCAAAAGAGAGGCTAAGATTAATGGCGGATTGTAACGCCCATACACATTATGATAAGAGAGAAACATGAGCATAAAATTAAGTCGAATGAAGTAAACGGAAGAAGTTGCCTTGCATGCCTGTATTTATAATAAATTATAATATTAATATTGACCATAAACAAGTGAAATGTGGGACTGTGTACTGTATTCAGCTAGCTCGGAACAGGGTACTGCAATGGCCCTCGTGAACATGCTCATGAATTTGCGTGTTCCACCAAACGTGTGCAATATCTCGAGCGGCTCAAGGACTACGAGCTTCTCGACAAAACTGTTTTCCGTCAATGATTCAGCTGACTCAGGTTAGGGTCCAGCGATGAGAATCAATACCACAGGGTAATGAGAATTTTGTTGTCACAAAAGCGGCGAATATCTTGAGCAGCTAAGTGACTGTGGCTCCGTGGTTTTACCTGGAGCTACACAGTGCAAATTCCCTCTTTCATGCAAGCAACTGAGCGAATATGAACAAAATAAAGTAAGTACATTGTGAGAAAACTGCAGAGTGAGGAGCTTCATAAACTGTAGTCCTCGCCCAGTATAATTACAATGATCAAGTCAAGAAATATGAGATCGGAAGGCCATATAGCAAGAAGGGGGGCGAAGACGAAAGCATATAGAATATTGGTGAGAAAGTCAGAAGGAGGGAAATCTCTAGGAAGACAAGACGTAAGTTGGTGAACAATATTAAGATGGATCTTAGAGAGATAGAATAGGATGATATGGGCTGGATCAATCTGCCTCAGGAATGGAACCAATGGAGGGCTCTTGTGAACTGAACACGGTAATGAATCTTCGGCTTCTATAAAATACTGGGGAGTTCTTGAGCAGATAAACAATTTGCGACTTCTCAAGAAGGACTCAGCTGCATGAGTGAGTGAGTGAAGTGTATGACGGATCTTTTTAAGGTAAATGCTTGCAGACTGCTCGCTAGGGCCACCAGACGCTTATGTAGTTACGCACACTCCTTGGGTTGGAGAGATGTCTTGACGAATAAACGGAATCACGTCGGATTTGAGGTACTCACAGCGGTGACTATGAAGAATACTCCAGTACCTTCCGGTATGTACCGCCAGTCAGTCCGGTAGCAATCAGACGACATTTTGGACGAACATACTGTCTCCTTCTTCAAGGTCAAATATTAAGCCGAGTAAAACCATACCACAGTGAAGATGGAGACAGTATGTTTCTTCGAGACGTCTGTTGACTGGTACTGGCGTTACATAACAGTAGACTGTGTTCTTAAATGAACCATCTTTCGCACATCAGCAAGTACTCTAATGGTTAGATTTCATGGCTGACGTTTATTACTTGACACAATACTCATAATATTTTATTTCCTCTATAAGGAAACGAGGGCACGCGGTAGCGTTGTTGGTTGAGGCACTATCCTACAAGCCGGAAGGTCGCGGGCTCAAGTCCCGATGAAGTCACTGGATTTTTTCAATTGACCTAATCTTTCCGGCCGCACTATGGCTCTGGGGTCGACTCAGCCTCTACAGAAATGAATACCAGGAATAAATAAAATAATTTTCCTGGGGAGTAAAGCGCGGCCGGCGCGTATGGCTGACAACCTTGCCACCATCCTTGAGCCGATTATCTAGATAATGTGGGACCCCCAACGTCTCACAACCGTAAGGGCCTCCACGGCCTGTTACAAGGATAGCTTTACTTTACTTTTGCTATAAGGAGACACAAGTTTATGACATAACCATGACCGTGTGTGTATCCTCCTAATACATTTGGGAGGGATGCACTGATTTTCACGAAACTTCTTATGCATGTTATATCACTAGAAACTACCCAACTTTGTATTTTTTATTGAGTATTTCTGATGTGGAAGCGACAATAGCACAACTTAGTACAGGATCTTTAAATTTGAGATCATAACAGACGACTGAAACGTATGTTACTTAAAAAAAAAGTGAAGTAATAACACGGGGTCTGGGAGAATTATATAATTTATTTTCCGTCTGTTCACTTTAATTAATAAATCCTTGACGCGGGGAATGTAAACATACATACAAAAATAAAGTTTGGTGACACGATTTTAAAAGCTGGACGAACCTTCATTTTGTTACCGGCCTAAAAACTACAAACTTCGCGACACTGTGTATCATTGTATTTATGTCTGTCAAGATTAGTATGTTTGTAATCCATGCTAGTGCATACTGTGGACAGTAATGTATCCTGAGAATTCACCACACAAGTTGCAGCATTTGCAATAAAATACTCAACATAATTTCTTCCCACAATTTGAAAATTCAGGAAAAAAAAAAACTTTCTCAAGTCGAGACAACTTACCCTACAGCCAGCTGGTGCCAGTCACCGTCCCCTAGGGCCGCTGGGATGTCCACGGTCTGTGTGCCGTTTGGGCCTGCGTGAATGAGCTTCACGCTGTCGGGGCCAGCGAGCTCCAGGGACAGGTAGGTGTCTTGCTGGCGTCGAGAACGCAGGCTAAAAACCGTCCCTTGGGCAAGTTCCTGAAACCAGATATATCTCTTGAAACATGGCTCTGACCACAGGGAATGTGAACATCGGATAACTGACATCTCTGTGAGGAACATAGGTGAGCAGCTGCGTGCTGAATCAAGCTAATACATGATTAAGCAAGACTGCGTCCATAATTTTTAGGTACTTTTTGTAGTTCAAATCTCTTGTCAGAAAAGATGAGAGGCGATTCTAGTCCACACTTCTGGTAAAATAGGCCGAAAGTGGCCGCAGTACAAGGGACTTAGTCCCACCTCACTAGCAATAAAAACAGTCTGTGGGTTAAACAGAGTGACCAATGTTTTCCTACATATTTGAGTGAATGCCGCTGTCTGTAGTAGAATGTCAGCAGTCCCTCTGTAGACACTCATGCATCTCCTGGTCACTGATATGCCTACGTGCTATAGAAGGCGGATGCGTCACCACACCCTGGATAGGATCAAGTGGAGGAAGCAATGGAAGCGACCGAGATATAGAGGTCACTTTGGAGAACGGGCGAGATTCTTATAAGACAGATCAAACAACACTCAAGTCTTCTGTCGTGTTCTGCCTTCTGTAGGTCAGTTCTCCCTGGGTAGGTTCTGGTCAATCTGTATGGAGATCGCCTTCGACAGTAGAGTTTTTGAGTCCCTAACCGTTACTGTGCTTTGACCAGTTCCTTGTCTTGTAAACAGCCTTTTCCTATCCGTTGTAACGGAAACATTTCTGTATGCGTTACCTTGGAAAGGTGTTTACCGAGCCGTTGCCTAGCTATGTATATTACAATATTGTTCCTCCGACAAATAGGTATCCTGAAGATGAACATAATATGTTGTATCGAATCGCTGATACCAACCTACCAGACTAATCTGTTTCAACGCTCGGAAGAACACAAAAAGAATCTTCACCTATGTGGGCGCGGCTATAGCCCGTGATAAATGCTGACAAGTCCCCATCAGGTTAACCTTGAAAGCAAACATGTCACACTATGTTAAAGGATGACATGGTCTAAGTGGAAGACAATAAACACTTACCAAGCTGGGTTTCATTTAATGGGCACTCTCCTAATATATTTTCTTCATAAAATACACTTCAAGTGTGGAAAATCTACGAATATTTAATTTTAACAGCTGGAAAATGGCTTACCAATTTGTTCCCCGTTCTCAAACATCACATAAACCTAATATAAGGTTCAGTGCTTTTGAACAAGGTATCTCATGCATTTTATTGGAAGGGCTAAAACTCTACAAGTCCATCATGGATGAAATGCTATGAGAATGCAGGCCACTGGACAACACAGATGAATAATCTATTTCATTGCAACTTTCGAGTAGGTTATGAGGATGAATACTGAAATGACACACAGGAGCGCAAGCCCTACACAGCCCCGGAGAGTAACCTAATATGCGAAGCGGACAGGAGAGTCCTGCAATAACAAGCTAACGGGCTGTGGGAGCAACTCAGCGTAAGCAAAATGTTCCTGCTTAAAGACCCCATTATAACATTACTAGGAAATGGGGAGAAGAAACCTCCAGGGGCAATGTATCCGCAGCCCCTTTCAACTTCCTCCCCCACGTCCCACCTCCGAACCCGGCACTTTGCACCAGTGGCTTCGCTAGGTTGATTTGCCTGGCTTTTCCTAAGGTAGAGTAGAACAGAATAATATGCTTACAGCGTTTCTCGCAAAGTCCTTCCTAAGCCTCCTACAAGTCGTCTGTAAAAAAGCCACGTTAAGCTTTCCACAGACAATATTAGAAACATTGTGTACTCTGCTAGAAAATGAATGAAGGCTCAAGGTTCCCCATCCTCAAGAGCGTTTATCTAGGCTGCAGAAAGCAAACGCTACAAACTCTGAGAACCACTTGTTTCAGTGCCAATTCTTCGTGTATTTAGAGTAAATCGTGAAGTTTTATTTTTCAGTGCAGTTTAATGGCATATATGTAGAACACAACAATTAACTTTCTAACTTCCAATAAATTGCTTTTCACTGTCAAATATATGCAAAAAATATATATGCCGGTTTTCCTGTTCTGTGTCTTCGTGGGATTACATTTCGTTTTATTTTTACACTTATGTTTATGGCTTATACGGTGACGCTATCAGTAGCTTAGACTGTACAAGGTTGATTGATTACATATTTTTTTCTTTCCTCTCGCTCCCACTTTGGAGCATAAGGCTGATTTCTCAGTTTCATTGATCCTTTTTGCAGACGGTAGCACTCCTTGGATGGGCGATCAGCTCGTCTCAAAACCTCTACCTAAACACAGGTCAACACAAACGCAGATTAAACACATACACACATCAAACATCCATGCCTTGTGTGGGATTCGAACCCTCGATCCCGGCTTCCAAGAGAGCGAAGAAGTTTCATGCCTTAGACCGTGACCGCCTGACTACATAATTACTCTAATAAATAAGAAATCGGAGAGAGTATGGAAGGAAGCTCTGGTAACCTAACTTAATATAATAATCCGGTATTTGCCTGAAGATAGTGGGGAAAACCACGAAACCCACTATAGTCCATGTCCTGATCCGGGCCGAGATTTGAAGCAGGTATCTTCAGAATAATAATCAGAAATTTTTTCATTTGAAAAAAGAACTCGATCAGTCCTGGAGACAAGAATATTACCCAGAAGCCATTTTCTACTCGTACAAAGAGAAACAAATCTCATGATATACATGATCCAAGCGAAGAATGGATTCAGCTGGCTCGGATCTGATGGTACAGTACACTCGTACAAAGAGCAACATATCTCGGGATTGACATGAACCAAGCGACGATTGGATTCAGCTGGCCCGGACCTGATGGTATAGTTTTTGTTTTATACACTCGTACAAAGAGCAACAAATATCAGGATTCATATGACCCATGCGACGATTGGGTTCAGCTGGCTCGGATCTGATATTATAGTCTTGCTCTAGCCGTGATTGACTCTGAAATGTCACAGCATCATTTGTGATATACAACGAGTTGGTTTTGTGGCCGTATCTATGCTTGTGCTATGGAGGCAGCCGATTTGAATCTCGCAGATAACGGTTGTCCTGGCATAGGTTCTCCTGGTTTCCTACATACTCTTTCCAGGTGAATGATGGGATAATATTTTCAGACAGGTAACCATATATTCCGGAGAAGTTCATGGAGGTAGGCCTAGGCCCACTGGGGCTGTAGCGCCAAGGAAAAAATATATATAGTCATTATATTTTCTTGTACTCTCCTAATTAACAATTTATTATTCCACTTCTTTCAACGATCTTGAACTCTACAGTCGAATCAATATAGTTAAAAAGTCTAGCAGACCTAGCAGAAATTTCTCAATTTTTTTCGTTATTTTCAGTTAATCTTTTCGAATTAGAAAGTTCTGAATGCTTGAATATAATATAATTTATGATACAATACAATGATATTCATGCAAAATATAATTAGTTCTATATAAGAGAAGTTATTTCATTTTGTTAAGTTGGTATAATATTCAGAATATTTCAGTATACCCTGAGGAGCTACAATTCGAACTCTGCAATGAATAACAGCAGAACATGCAAAGAAGGAGCGCTGACGGCTGACTGGGCAAAGTTTCGAACAATACCCCAAGCCGTAATTATCTTGTTAGTCAAGGCGACAACTCTAATTTACTGATGTCGACGGCAGTCTCATTGCACTGCTATAAGACTCAACCCTGTCTGTAATATAAACAAAGGATGGCGTTTCTATTAGGAATACATTTGTATGTATAAGATTTCAAATGTTTACTCTGGGTAAGGCACTAAATTTCAAGTAGCTCTGAGGCGGCACTACATCTAGGGTTGCAAAACATCAGCCTGGTTTCACGGCAACAACTCTCCCTAATCTTTCCCATTCTGTTCCATGAATTTCACTCCTAGGAACTTCCATTACAGTGAATGCAATATAAAAATAAATTTGATTCTATAACAATTCATCCAATTTTATCGATCATCTGAAGGCTTTCTTAGGTGTTACAGAAGAACACACAGCATTTCAAATTCAGTAATAATTCAAATTGAATATACGCCTCATACTCTCTCACTCATGGAGCTGAGCCCTTCTTGAGAAGCGGCCAATTGCGCAACGACTCAAGAACTTCCTAGTATTTTATGGAACCCGAAGGTTCATTACTGTGTTCACAAGAGCAATCCACTGGTCCCTATTTTGAGTCAGATCACTCCAATCCATACAATACCATTCTATCCCTCTAAGATCTATTTTATTATTGTTTATCCACCTACGCTTTGGTCTTCCCAGTGGCCTCTTTCTTTCTGCCTTTCCCACCGATATTCTATATGCATTCCTCCTCTTCATATTTGTGCTATATGATCTTCCAATCTCATCCTCTCTGACTAGATCATTCTAATTATACTTTGAGAAAAGTACAAATTATGAGGCTCCTCATTATGCAGTCTTCTCCAACCTCCTGTCATTTCATCTCTCTTTGGTCCAAATATTCTTCTCAACATCCTGTTCTCAAACACCCTCAGTCTATGTCCCTCCCTTAATGACAGAGGCCAAGTTTCACAATCACACAGAACCACGAGCAAAATTATAATTTTTATGTCTTTGGGCAGGCGAGAAGACAAAAGGTTCTAGACTGAATGGTAGTAAGCATTACCCGAATTCAATCTCCTCTTAATTTCCTCCTGAATCAGGTTTTGATTTATTATAGTCGTTTCCAGATACTTGAACTGTGTCCCATTTTCAAAACACTTGTTACCTATCTTCATATCATGATTTTGCCCTTCGTTTTGGTGACGAGACAGCAATATATACCTATTGTTCTCTGTTTGTACTTCTGGATCAACCTTCTCACTATCGTCAATTAACGTGTGTATTTTTCTTTATATCATCTATATTATCACCTAGTAGAGTCACATCATCGGCATAGACCAACAGCTGATGTGTCCCTTACTTGCGGAGAAAAACTACAAATGTGCTTTATTTGATTGAAAATGTTTCAGTCTGTAATTCTGTCCTACGCCGCTTAATTCCTGTGCTGCTATTGAG